AAAAAAAAAACAAGAAAGAATCTTTTTGTGGCGCCTTGCAAAACAGTTTTCAAAGAGTTACGTAATGTGGTAGACAGTGTCTACGCCTTGTAACTGCAACCGTGGAGATTCAGACCGTTTGTATCAGCCTTCAAAACAAAATTTATATTTTTAGTTTCTACGCTTCCTGGCCATCTCTGGGTCTCTCCAGAAAATAGCCACGAAGTCGCAGCGTTTTAACTGTATTTATAAATTTTAGTTACTCAAAGAGAGACCAAACAAGCTTTGGGAAATTTTTTGGAATACATTTGTCGGAGACTTCTTTAAAGTCATTCTCGGTCAAATATTTCTACGCATTATTTTTGCTAGTAGGCTCGCATTACCAGAAGCAGTAAAACTATAAGAGCTTCTATGATGTCAGAAATACTTAAGGCTGAAGACTAATCTCTGACGCAGAAGAACGAATGCAACCCGTTATATTTGCAGAACACAATATTACCCACTACCGCCACCAGCGTAGTATTGTTGTGAAACATCTTAATAGTTAAAAGGGCAGACCATTAGAAAGTAGGAACGGGTACATAGACAACCCTGAAATTATAATGGATGGACCAGATTTGGGTTCAAGAACCTTATACGAGAAAATGAAAACAAGTTGCGGAGAAAAAAAATGTTTTGAGGCGGAAAAGTGTCACCGCAATAACGCCAAATCGTTTTGTAAATTACTACAACGCATAATCGTGAAATAGAAATTTATAAATCCATAAAGTCAAAGGTATATCTGTGGCATAAACTCAAAAATTTTAAACTTTTGAGCAAATAATTTTTTAATTTTTTTTGTGTATAAAAGTTTGAAAAGAACGGGATAAATAAGGCTGTATGCAGCAGAAGAATGAAATTAGTACGTCACAGAATAGTGTATTGGTGCGTTAAAAACTTATAACGAAATATACTGAACAATTAATTATGTTAAGATAAAAAAAATTGAGCGAATTTTTAAGCAACGGTTCGTAAAGAATGTAATTCAACGTTGAAGATACTTTATATTCTAAAATGTAGAAGATATAAAAAAGTGCAAGCAGTTTTATCTTATTTCAATATAACAGATCTAATACAATAGCAGTAAGTGAAGTAGTAATTTTGTTACGGCAGAAAGAATAAGAAATTTGATTTAGAAACCCAAATTGAACAACCTATGACAAGTGCCTAATTTTAATGAGTATTCTATCGCTACCAAGTTTCATGAACAGTGTTGCTATATGCTGCAATTAAGAGATCAAATAGCAGGAACACTAGCAAATTGTTAAAATGGAAAAATGGAAAGGCTTGTAAGTATTAACTAAAATACTCTCACACTGACGAAATGTTGCTAACATGAATCTAGAGTAGAAACGTCAGACCGGGATAAAACAAACCTCTTCTTTTTCACCAGTTACTTGCTCAATACCTTAATTTTACAGCGTTTTTGATGATTAATTGAAATAAGAACTTAATTTCTGCAGCATGAATAAAATGAAATTGGATAATGTATTACATCTTTTAATAAAATAGTTTGTTTACTTTTTGAATGTTTATTGCGTTAATACAGGTCTTTTTCTTTATTTCGCGAAATATTCGAATAGAATAGAATATCCGTGAGTGATCGTCAAGTAAACTGTATTTTATTTACATTAACACTTTGATGTGCTGTCATAAACTGCGGAACTTTAAAGAAGGACGAGAAGAGCCATGTAGGTGGATAATTGAGGACGTAGATTCCATCCTTATTCACACTGTGTTATGTATAGTTTAAGTTCTGCTGCTAAACAACTACGACTGCGCAATAAACATGGATATATGGATGTATGTATTTAGGTGAACTAAAGACTGATGAGTGCACCAATTTGGAAGTGTTTATTTGGGTAAGTGTTATTCTGTTGGTAAATATGTTCGGCTGCTCAACAGTTATGTTACTGTTATTTCTTCTGTTATTCCTGGAGAAAATTTATCCTGTTATGTTGGTAATGCTTATTTCTTTATTACACTATTCATTTTGTTTTTAACCTTAAGACAAGTCACTGAAGAACTCAAGATACTCAGATTTTTTTTCCAAAAAAAGGTGCTCAATGCCTGTTATAGTGCTTAGCATCGATTTCGTGCGGACAAGAAACTGGGTGTTTTCCTGCACCACCACCGATATGTAATCTGCACAGTTGTCCACGGAACTACTTCTGCGCTCCAGCTACCGGAAACTGCGTTCTTCGGTCAAAATTGTTGTCTGCAGATGTTGTTAAGAAAGCGGTGAAAGTTGTTAAAAATTTCAAGGTATGTTTGATGACTTGGTGTTGGCAAAAAAAAGCATGAATCTGAACAGTCTTCATTAGCTGTTCAGTTTTTAAAATATTTTTATCACATTATCAAACAAAATAGTTTCAATTGTTCATTCTAAGAACATTTTTTGTTTAAGACTGATGACGAAGAATTCAACGAATGCTGTCAAATGGCTGGTCTACCCAATTCTTGTTTAAGCAAATGCTCATACAACAATTACAACAAAGCAAACGTTAGTAGCTAAACAGTGACTAAGGCTTCAGAAGTAATAAGCATGTATTTTATAGAATAGGGTAGTGAGATTTAGGATGCAACAGTGTACTACGAAAAAGATTAAAGCCTCTTGTTGTTTATTTTAAGGTACAGCGTATATATCTTGGACTGGATGAATGTCCAGCAAATTCTTTGGCTATCCTTCACTCCTGCGCTGCTGGTAACGACCCATACATCAACTGTTGTATCAGAAAACAGATATTTCCGGATATGTTATTCACTAAATGTTCTGTTTTATGCAGAGCTGTTAGTTTACTATTATTACTTTAAAAAATTCATTTTTGCGGCAACAGAAGCTGTTTTTTTTGGTTTGAAATTTTTAACAAATCTTTTCATAATTTAATTTATTAGTTGAAAAACAAAAATTAAAAAATGAAGTAATCTGCAATTTTTACTGCTTGCTTTTTTAGTTATTCTCATTATTAATAAGTTAGCGTTAAGTAAGCTTTACTAACAATTAATCTTATTCAAATGATTTCGTTATGTAATATTTAATAATACCAGTTGAATTTTCATTTGATCTCTAAAGCTGTCTGTTCAGAATTCTAAGATCAAAATGCACTTTGATATCAGCTATTTACCATGTTTTCAAAAGTTTGACGATGTGATACAAGAATGTTTTCGTAACGGACAGCCTGACACCGAATCGCTGTATCGATCTTAATTCAGCGTCTTAAGTATGGCGCAGCTATTTCATTCTGGAAAAAAGCGCCACAATAACAGTAAACTTATCATTAATTTGCTTTATACAGTGCTTTAAAAAGCTGAAAAATTGTTAGTTTATCTTTTATTTAAAACATAATTTCACTCTGTTGCAGTAAATGAGGTTTTTGTAGCCAACATTTTGAATAGTCAGAATGCGATGTTGTTGCAAGAAGCCGAAAGCTGTAACGGGTTACTGAAACGTATAATGATAATGATCTTATGGTATGACAGTAGTTGATCAAGCGTCAATTTTCACTGGAAATTAGCTGGAAGTCGCTTAATAACTATCGCCGTCATCAGTAATAAGTTTTCATTTATGTTCATCCTAAGTTTTAGTTTGTTTCGTTCACTATACGTCTCTTCAATTCTTTTTGGGCATTATTTTACAGGTTTTTGTACTTTATTAGATAATGTTCAGAAAATTTTATAGAACTTTCTGCATTAATGTTATTTGTTAAGTTAATTAATAAAAAAATTTAAAAATAACAAATGTGATAAAAAACGTTAACCATTACATCGGAATACTGTTAATCTAAACGGTATACTGAGTACTGCAGTACATAACATCACATAAATTCCTATAATATTTAGTCGAAAAAGTTAAAATATTACTGGAAAAACGTCTGCTATGCTATGTTAAGATCATGGAACTCTTTTCAGTTGTTATACAACTAAACGGTCTAAAAAAGACATAAAAAGAAAATGGAATAGTAAGTGAGGCTTACCAAAGAATGAGTTAATGTAAATAATTTTTAGAATAGATAGTTTTGATAACTGATTTCTTTTTTTGCTTAGCTGAATCTAAAGTGATACGTCTGTATGCCGGATCTATAAAGCACAAATAACTAATATGCAAAAACAAGCCTCTTTTACAAATTTTTTTTTTCGGGGGGGGGGATGGGGGGAGGAAGGAGAAGTAATAAAAGTAATTCTAATGTAGAATTTTAAAAAGGTTACCGAAACTATAAAGTTGTTTGGAGAGAAAATGAATTTTTGTTATATTGGTAATTAGAATGTCCTACTATTATTCTTTGCTGCACATTTTAGAAAACCGATTTTTTGCAGGAAATCTACAGTGTCTATTCTGTTGCAGATAACACTGTTACAAATCGAAAACAGTACTGCAGTTTAGTGAAAAAGCTCTGTTGGAAACAGAGAAAAGCAGATGTCAAACAAAATTTACTGTCATTTTTTGTAGTTATTATAAGCACGTAACACTATTACAATTAAAGTCTTCTGATACAGAATTTTTCAACAGACATCACTTTTACTGATCACTAAATATTTCAGTTTTAAGCGCCAATGTATGTGGAAGGTTAAAAGTTATTTATTAGAAATTTAGTCAAAGCCTACTTTTACCTTAGACACTGACTAAGTTATAAACTGTTTCTAATGGGTTGAATAAATTTGTTGAAAAGCAGTCAGACACGAACTATTGGTGGCGATTTTTAGCATTTGCTTCTACAATTATACATTATTCTAATGCTTTTATACTTCAGTACCATAGAGTTTGATTATTTTCTTTAAAACCTACAGTTATTTAAACCATATGATTCAAGAAGCAAAACAGAAAATGAATATTTACATAAAAAAATATTTATAAGACAACACTGCATCAAAAGATCTGTTCTTTATACCAATTCTTTAAACGCATTTT